GCTGGGCTGCCCTCCCAAAAGCACAGCCTGGGCACTGTCTGCCCCAGTACGTGCCTCCAGGCCTGTCTGGTGTATTGCTGTGTTGATAAACTCACTGTCTGTTTAAATTTTATTTTTAAAAGATATCTCGGCTGGGCGCGGTGGCTCACACCTGTAATCCCAGCACTTTGGGAGGCCGAGGCGGGTGGATCACGAGGTCGGGAGATCGAGACCATCCTGGCTAACACGGTGAAACCCTGTCTCTACTAAAAATATACAAAAAATTAGCCGGGCATGGTGGTGGGCGCCTGTAGTCCCAGCTACTCGGGAGGCTGAGGCAGGAGAAAGGCGTGAACCTGGGAGGCGGAGCTTGCCATGAGCTGAGATCGCGCCACTGCACTCCAGCCTGGGCGACAGAGCGAGATTCTGTCTCAAAAAAAAAAAAAAAGAAAGATATATCTTCACTGGGATTTCATCAAAGCAGCACCATTCTTTCTATTAATACCGATGGATTTATTTTTTTCTTTCTTTCTCCCTTCCTTTCACCTTCCTTTCCCCTCCCTCTTTTCTTTTCTTCTCTTTTCTTTTCTTTTCTTTTCTGTGTTTGTTAAAAAGCAGACGTGAAAATAGAAGAAACCTACAGGAAAGAAACCGACCTACCCAGTTTGTTTCCCCAACAGGAAAGAAACCGACCTACCCAGTCCCACTGGCCTAAGGTGACAACCAGTCTGCTTTTGGCAAGTTGAGGCTGGAGCACAGACTGGATCACAGACACAAACGTGAGACTAAAGACACACAAACTCCTGTTCAAGCCTCAAGTTGACCCACCCAGAAAACAAGCACACGCCTGCTGCACGCCAGCAGCCAAGCCCAGAAAGCTACGCTCTAATCTGTGCGCCCACTGGATTTTCATCAGTTCCCCTTGGTGCTTATGTGGACCAACCAAGGGAGGTGAGCGGCCATAACAATGCCCCGAGTCTGGGTTAGCAGGTGCCAGGGTGCCTCTCAGCAGGGATAGGAGCAGGTGGACCCCAGAGTGGAGCCCACGTCACAGGTATATACAAGGGGAAAAGGGATTACTTGAGGCAGGTCCTCCACCGCTGCTGAGGGTGGAGGCAAAATGTTGAAACACCCACCATGGCTGGGGTCTCCCAAGGCATGGTGGGGGCAGCAAACCCTCCCCAGGCTGCAGTCCTGCGTGAGGACGGCTGTGGAACCCAGCACAGAGCACGAATGTGCCATGAGCCCAGGCCATTGCAGGGAGGCAGAGAAGCACACAGCGCATCCTACAGGGAATTCTCCTGCCACTATTAGAACGTGACCGCCATGTGTGCAGTAGGGAGAGGGGTAATGCTCGTTGCCTGCCCCCCAGGGCTCACCCTGTTCCTAGGGGGACAGACGCTCCCCTAGGCCCCTAGTCCTGAATTCTCTCTAGGAACTCGGGGATTTCTCTGGGTAGAAAGTCCTTGCTTGAGGCAAAACATCTCATCGTGCCTTCATTTACATTTTGGATGAACATTTTGTTAAAGCCAGAGCACCCTGACATGAGAGCAAGAGGATGGACGGCAGAAGGGACCAACACCACGGGGAAGCTGGGCATGCTACAGACCCCAGTGCCTGCCTGGCAGAGCCACTCCTCCAATCAATGTCTGAACAGTGGGGCCGGGAAGCAATGGCGCTTGAACAGCTGCTGCCATTTTTTTCTTTTTTGGATGAGTTGGAAATCCCATCAAGAACAAGCCACTTGGCCAGGTGTGGCGGTTCACACCTGTAATCCCAGCACTTGGGAGGCCAAGGCAGGCTCATCACTAGAGATCAGGAATTAGAGACCAGCCTGGTCAACTTGGTGAAACCCCATCTCTACTAAAAATACAAAAATTAGTCGGGCATGGTGGCATGTGCCTGTAATTGTTTTTTTTTTTTTTTTTTTTTTTTTGAGGCGGAGTCTCGCTCTGCCGCCCAGGTTGGAGTGCCGTGGCCGGATCTCAGCTCACTGCAAGCTCCGCCTCCTGGGTTCACGCCATTCTCTGGCCTCAGCCTCCCGGAGGCTGGGACTACAGGCGCCCGCCACCTCGCCCGGCTAGTTTTTTGTATTTTTAGTAGAGACGGGGTTTCACCGTGTTAGCCAGGATGGTCTCGATCTCCTGACCTCGTGATCCGCCCGTCTCGGCCTCCCAAAGTGCTGGGATTACAGGCTTGAGCCACCGCGCCCGGCCGTGCCTGTAATTGTAATACCAGCTACTTGGGAGGCTGAGGCTGCAATGAGCCGAGATTGTGCCACTGCACTCCAGCTTGTGTGACACAGCGAAACTCCAGCTCGAAAAAAAAAGGAACAAGCCACTGAGCGAACATAAGGAAAAGATACAACAAAAATAAATTCCTCATGAACAGGTGCACGCCGCCTGCCTGGCAATGGAGGCCCCATGCACAGTGCCCTCCTGGGACTGGCTGAGTCGCTCAGGTCGCCTTCCGGCTGTGTGACTGGAGGAGTCTACACAGCTCAGGGCAGGGCTGGGAGACAGCCCTCCCTGGGGACCCCAGAGAAACCGGTTCCAGGAGAGTATGATCAGTGCTGGGGGAACCTCAAGCAGGAGGCTCACATAGGCCCAGCCAGCTCCTGCCTCCTATGCATCCCCAGTGAGGAGCGGCACCTGTTGCTGGTGTCCGCGTCTCTTACCTGGGTTGAGGACTGGCTGGACGATGTCCCCATTCCTCCACTTGGTCTCCATGCGCTCCAGCTTCTGGGCTTCATACCGCTTCCGGCCCTCCTCCTCCTGCTCCTGCCGAGAATACTGCGGGAAACCACAGACAGGTCAGGCCCAGGCGGGACACGGTCTCCTTCCCTCTACAGGCAGCCACGACCCCAGGCCCCTTATGTCACATAGCCTTGTATAACTGGGACTATCTTTCTTTCTGTTTGTGTGTGCTTAATATAAGTAATAAGAATAGAGAAAGAGTGAAATCCCACGTGGCTCCACTCCCCAGAGAACCTGGGTCAAATGTTTGGTTTAGATCCTTCCGGGAATTGCTTTTATGCCTACAAATATATAAAAAGCTCTGTGGTGCTGCATGTGGAGCTTAAAAGCAACTGTGTATCTATTTAACATAATTTTTGTGACTATGTGGGCACTTAGCTTGTTCCCAATTTTTCTTTTCTTTTTTTTTTTTTTGAGATGGATTCTTGCTCTGTCCCAGGTTGAAGTGCAGTGGTGCGATCTCAGCTCACTGCAACCTCTGCCTCCTGGGTTCAAGTGATTCTCCTGCCTCAGCCTCCCCAGTAGCTGGGACTACAGGCGCCTGCCACCACACTCAGCTAATTTTTGTATTTTTAGCAGAGACGGGGTTTCACCATGTTGGCCAGGCTGATCTCTTGACCTTGTGATCCACCTGCCTCAGCCACCCAAAGTGTTGGGATTACAGGCGTGAGCCACCGCGCCCACTATTAAAACCATACTGATTCTAGGTTACCTAAAATCATTTTGCACTGTCCCATTCCTCTCTAGGATTCATTCCAGAATAAAGGGATCCTCAAAAAGGCCCCACCTACTCTCCCAGGGCCATGACAGAGCAGGAGCTGTGTGTGTCCCTGCTGACCCTTGGCCAATCGAACAGGCTGTATATTAGTAGAGAACAGGCAGTCAAAGATGGAACCATCCCCCCGAGGCTCTCTGAATGGATCATAGGGGTTTTTGACCCCGGAAGTTAAAAATAAATGTGAATATAAGACTCAGCACAGGCCGGGCATGGTGGCTCGCGCCTGTAATCCCAGCAATTTGGGAGGCTGAGGCGGGTGGATCACTTGAGGTCAGGAGTTCGAGACTCCTGGCCACATGGTGAAACCCTGTCTCTACTAAAAATACCAAAATTAGCCAGGTATGGTGGTGGGCACCTGTAGTCTTAGCTACTCGGGAGGCTGAGGCAAGGGAATCGCTTGAACCCGGGAGGTGGAGGTTGCAGCCAGCCAAGATCGCGCCACTGCACTCCAGCCTGGGCGACAGAGCGAGACTCCATCTAAAAAGATAAAATAAAATAAAAAATGCCAACTCTTAGCACAAAAACCAAAGCTCCTGAGTCCCAGGACACAACAGGGGATATTGCATTTCTTGGACATAACAGGCAGTTCACTCACTGCCCTCCTGTGCACAGTGGAGGGGACGCACCACACTCCCTCCCCATGGGACCTCAGAGGGGCCCTCAGGGCCTGCGTGCTGGCCCCAGGCCGGTTCCAGACCCTCTGCCTGCTCCATCCCCCAGGACCTTCTCCCTCCCTGACAGCCTGGCCAGGGGCCAACTACCACCTGGCTGTTCTGATTAACCTCAACTTCTGCTCTCACCGTTCACTCACCCAACCATTCCAGCTGAGCCTGTGGGGAAGCCACAGAACGCAGGGCCCCTCTGGGCCCCTCCCGGCCGCCTGTTGAAGCCCCTCTGACCTAAGCAAGTTCACTTCCGATGGCTGTGTTAGGCCTTCTTTCAAAAGTCAGTTTTAAACATCTCGATAATTCCTGCTCATGGCTCAGCTCCAAAACTGTGCAGGGCCTGAGCACCATTCACCATTCCTTGGCTTAATTATCCATCATCTTCAGTTGAGAACCCATCTTCAAAAGAGGCTGGGAAGGGAGCTGAAGGGTTTGTTCAAAAGAAGCAAACCGTGGGGAGTGTTTTCAGTTGCAGTGGACAATTCAACCTTTTCCTCCATAAATAAATCACGTCCTAATGTTCCACCAGCGAAGTCATGACTGTGAGAGGAGAGTCTGCGCTGTGTCTGCGCTGTGAGTCTGCGCTGTGTGTCTGCGCTGTGTCTGCGCTGTGTGTCTGCGCTGTGAGTCTGCGCTGTGAGTCTGCGCTGTGTGTCTGCGCTGTGTGTCTGCGCTGTGAGTCTGCGCTGTGTGTCTGCGCTGTGTGTCTGCGCTGTGTGTCTGCGCTGTGTCTGCGCTGTGTGTCTGCGCTGTGTGTCTGCGCTGTGAGTCTGCGCTGTGAGTCTGCGCTGTGTGTCTGCGCTGTGTCTGCGCTGTGTGTCTGCGCTGTGAGTCTGCGCTGTGTGTCTGCGCTGTGTGTCTGCGCTGTGTGTCTGCGCTGTGTGTCTACCTAGCAACATTGGTGGGTGAACTTCAGCATCCTCAAGAAATGCCTTTTAAAGGGAACTTTTTTTAAAGGAGCCACCCCCTGGTCTAATACATCCTTGTGGCATCCAGTACATTTGTCTGGGCTTGGCGGGCACACAGGGAAATGATGGGGCCCGGTCCTGGACACAAGCCACGAGGAGAAGCCAGGCCTACTCCCCAACGCTGCCTTTCCATCTGGGAACAAAACCGCTGGAACATTTTAATGACGGCTGGCACCTAATTCTCACCCCGGAGGGCTCATCAAACCCAACTGATCTGAAGCAGCAGACAGCGTGGCCCAAATGTCTGAGAGACAGGCTGTGAACCTCTTCGCTCAAGCACGTATTCAGACATTTGAAAAAAACCAAAGCATCCACCCCCGACGGCCACTCAGCATGTCCAGGGCTGCGGTTGCCCCTCCGGTCATCCTGGGCCCCTCAGGCCCATCACAGGGACACCGAAGTTCCATGCTCACTGGGAAAGCTGCAGGCAGGCTGGGGAGGAAGGTGGAACAAAGAAAAGATGTCCTGCACCGGACGACTGTGCACACGGCCAGCAGCTGGGTTCCTCCAGGGAGATGCACACATCCAGGAAACCAGAGCGTGTGTGTGTGTGCGCATGCGTGTTCAAGATATCTACACGCATACGTATGTGACATCTCCATCTGTATGTGTATACATATTATATATATCTGCATATCTACAGATACAGGGATGTACATTTTCCTAAATCTGGGATGGCTGTAGAAAGGTCCGCAGGAGCATGCCCATGGAACATAAGACAGCCCTCTGGCCAGGCCACCAGCAGATAAGCATATGCTCACCGGAGCCAGGGAAGGAAGCTGCACTTTCCGGGACTCCGAAGCAGGCCTCTGGCTGGGCCCACTAGTGAAAAACAGGAGGCCGGGCGCGGTGGCTCAAGCCTGTAATCCCAGCACTTTGGGAGGCCGAGACGGGCGGATCACGAGGTCAGGAGATCGAGACCATCCTGGCTATCATGGTGAAACCCCGTCTCTACTAAAAAAATTACAAAAAACTAGCCGGGCGAGGTGGCGGGCGCCTGTAGTCCCAGCTACTCGGGAGGCTGAGGCAGGAGAATGGCATAAACCCGGGAGGCGGAGCTTGCAGTGAGCTGAGATCCGGCCACTGCACTCCAGGCTGGGCGACAGAGCGAGACTCCGTCTCAAAAAAAAAAAAAAAAAAAGAAAAACAGGAGACCCAGATTCCAAATCAGCGGGAGGTTTATACTACGTGGGCCTAGCATGTGTTGGGGGGAAGACAGTGCAAATAGCTCTGAGCACCAGCTGCAGCTGAGAACTGTGCAGCCTCTCCCATCTGCAGCTCTGGCTGCCTCGGCTCCGTGGAACGGTTTCAACAACTCCTTGACAAGGCCAAGTTGATATTTATGTCTCATCAAACCCACTACACAAAGGAAATGAAAAAGCAACCGGGAGCCCCTCCAGGATGCGGGAGGGAGGGAGCTAATTACTGGGCAAGGAGAGGCGAGGCTCAGAGGGGCCACGCTGAAAGCGCCCTGTCCCTGCGGCGAGGGGACGGGAGCCAGGGGAGTCTGAAGCTACCCGTCCCCTCCACTGGCCAAAACCCAACAGCTCTCGGTGCGTCGATCCCAAGCGACAAGGCAGCAAAAGCGACTGTGTTCAGGTCCAGACCCGCCCCTCGGTATCACCCGCCTGAGATGTACCATGAGATGCTAAAGCCAGGCATGGGGCCTGGGAGAGATTTCAGAACTGGATAGCATCTGAAAATTAAATCCGTTAAATGCTATGTCTCAATATTTACATGCGATGTAGCTCACTGAACACCAAGGGCTTAGAGAAAAGAATAAACGTGGGGGTGGGTGTGCTTGCAATTCTGCGGAGAACAGTCAGGAGCCCCCAACTGACCCCTGCTCCTTAGGTCTTCAACCACCCCGAGTTAGCACTGCCTGAAAATGACCACAACTTCCATCTCGGCCAAGAAGCAGGGAGAGAGGATAACAGCCCCACAAAGAACAAGAGACGGGGGAGGGTGCTGAACCGAGGGCTGCTGCACTGGGTTGAACAGTGTCCCTCAAAATGTATATCCACCTGAAACCTCAAAATGCAAACACTTCCAAAAACCGGGTCTTTGTAGTTGTAAATAGTTAGAATGAGGTCACAGCGGAATGGGATAGGCCCTAAGCCCAGTGACCCGTGCTCTTGTAAGCAGGCCGTGCGAAGATGGAGGCAGAAGCTTCAGGGACGCGGCCTCAGCCAAGGGACGCCTGGAGCCACCCGGCGCTGGCGAGACCAGGAGGGATCCTCACCTGGGGCCAATGGAGGGCGCGGGCCCCTGCCCACACCTTTGGACTTCTGGCCTCCAGAACTGTGACAGAATCAACTTCTATTGTTTGAGAGCTACCCAGTCAGTGGCACTTGGTCACAGCAGCCCCAGGACACTGACTCAGGCGGGAGCGTGAGACTTCGGACTCCACACCCTGACCCTGAGCCCCCGCCTGCTGGCCAGATTCTGGCATGCTGCCATCCTGCTCTCATAAAACCAAAGCTGCGGCCAGGCACGGAGGCTCACGCCTGTAATCCCAGCACTTTGGGAGGCCGAGGCGGGTGGATCACAAGGCCAGGAGATCAAGACCATCCTGGCTAACACAGTGAAACCCCATCGCTACTAAAAATATAAAAAATTAGCCCCAGCTACCAGGGAGGCTGAGGCAGGAGAATGGCGTGGACCCAGGAGGCAGAGCTTGCAGTGAGCCGAAATTGCACCACTACACTCCAGCCTGGGCGACAGATCGAGACTCTGTCTCAAAAAAAAAAAAAAACAAAGTTACAGCCACCAGCCTTCCCTTCCCTTCCCATTAAATGTGGACAGGGTTCCCCTGTCACCAAGATTTAAAAACAGCAACAACAACAACAACAAACCTAGGCCAAACAGCAGCTGGACCCGGCAGCCAGCCACACCCACCTGGGGAGACACCCCACCCAGACCTTTACTGCCCTCTGAGGAGACCCCGGCAGGGTGCCTGGTCAGACACTGAGCTGAGGAGAGAAGAGAGGGCAGGAAGCACGTCTCAGGGAGTACCTCCCCAGTCTCACATGGGCAGCGGAAGCAGGGACTGGGGTCCCATCAGCCCTGGTGACCCGGGGGCCACGGGAAGACAGAGAGCCAGGCCTCCTACAGGCGGGAAGTGGCCTGCTCCCAGCAAACGCTGGGGAGGGGACCAGGGCTTCTAAAGTGGCCTGTGCCTGGCAAACGCTGGGGAGGGGACCAGGGCTTCTAAAGTGGCCTGTGCCTGGCAAACGCTGGGGAGGGGACCAGGGCTTCCAAAGTGGCCTGTGCCTGGCAAACACTGGGGAGGGGACCAGGGCTTCCGGCAGCAGCAGGAACACCCAGCATCTCTGTTGGGTCTGGAAGCAAAAAGAGCAGGCACCAATTCCTGACAATCTGGTTCTCAGTTTTATTATTTCTAAAAATGTATTCTATATATATCTCAGCCGGAGGAAAAGCTCCCCGCCGGGGCCCACACTGCAGAGACTCAGAATCCTGGTTCTTTCCCTCTAAGAAGAGCTCCTCCTGGGGGCTGGGCCTGTGGACCACAGGGTCAGGCTGCAGGAGGAGCTGGTCACACCTGTCCTTGGACTCGCCAATGAATTCGGGGCACAGGAGAAGGAGGCGAGGGAGCACTTTTAGGGAATGAATTAAATTTCTTTATTCCCAACATCTCCCCTCCAAGAGTCTGTTCGCGCAGCTTCCACAGGCTTCGCCCATAGGCCCACCCATGGCGGGACTCCTCTGACAACACAATGAACCAGTATTATGCTTCCACCGGGCGCGGTGGCTCACGCCTGTAATCCCAGCACTTTGGGAGGCCAAGGTGGGTGGATCATGAGGTCAGGAGATCAAGACCATCCTGGCTAACACGGTGAAACCCCGTCTCTACTAAAAAAAAAAATTAAAAAATTAGCCGGGCGTGGTGGTGGGTGCCTGTAGTCCAGCTACTCAGGAGACTGAGGCAGGAGAATGGCGTGAACCGGGGAGGCGGAGCGTGCAGTGACCTGAGATCCGGCCACTGCACTCCAGCCTAGGCGACAGCGCGAGACTCCGTCTCAAAAAAAAAAAAAAGAAAAAAGAAAAGTGCTTCCATCACAGCGAAGCCAGAAAGGAGAGAAACCCAGAGAAGGAGGCAGACGCCAGCAGGGGACAAGGAGGGAGAAAGACCAAAGCTCACACGAGGAGAGCTGTCTCCACGGCCACTGCGTCAGAAGCAGAGATCAGAACCAGCTTGCCGGGCCCACGGGGCAGCAGCCGGCCCGGCCCAGGCAGCCTGGTGGTCCTGGCTCCCGAAAGAAGGACACATCACTATCACGATCCTGTCACTGCCTTTTCTCTGGTTAGGGAGTGTGACAAAAAGGTCCCTAGGTTGGAGGGACATTTACGTCCACAGGTTCTGGGCCAGCTTGCGCTCACATTCCCAGCATGAATTAAACATACACCAGAAGATCCCACACAGACATGTCTCCTCCCCACCCGTGTTTCCTCGAAGGCAGGACAGAAACTCCTGTGGAGCCAGGGATGCCCTGCCCAGCCCAGAGGGGACACTGCCTGCTGGTGGACCTGGCACCCTGTGCCCCAACTTTGACGTGTCACTCCCTTGGGACCCTTAGCTGAACGAGCCTCCCACCATCAGGCGAGGTGACCTGATCTCTGCCATCTGCCCCCAAGAGAGAAGTAGAAGGGGCACCTTACCACAACAGGAGGCACCTCGAGGACCTTGTCCACGTTCTTCAGTGACAAGGGCACATACCACAGGGTGGCCTTATTGGTCAGCTTTTTGGCACCTTAAGAGAAGAAAATCACATAAGTGATGCCCAGGAGACGGGGTAGGGGTGTGAGCAGCCAGGCACGTGGCAGATGCTGCTCCGGCCCCCGGTCCCAGCACCCGAAACACCCCGCACTGTGTACTACCTCTCTGGCCCCCAACCCCCAAGGCCCCAAGGTCTTTTCAGCATCCTGGCCGGGGAGTGCTGCCATCATGTGAGTGTGGACAAACAGAACAAGAGACCCCAGAGCCCACGGAGAGAGGCTGCGTGGGGCCCACCCCCATCACAAGGTATGCCCCCTAAAACTGGTTTGAACTCAGGACCCCAGCTCCTCCCAATGCAACCACTCTGGGGCAGTTTTCCCTTTTCAGGGGTGGCTGAAATGACTTCAGACCACGGTTAAGCCTGGATGGTCCAGAGTTGGTCAGCCACAATACCCAACAGGGATCACCCTGGAGGGCACCAACTGCAGGCAACCTCCTTTTCCTGGTGTTTTGACAGAAAGGCAGCTTGATTACGAAAACACATCAGAGGCTCCCAATGAGCCTCCCAGACAGAGGGGAAGGACTGATGGGCTGCAGGCAGATGCCCTTCGCTCTGCCCAGGGAGACGAGGCTGAATCCACTTCACCCGCTGGCTCAAGTCTCCACCAGCTGATCGCTGCTGACACCAAACGTCAAAATCAAAGTGCCTTGCTGGGGAACTTGATGTCCTGACGCTCAGACAAGCAACATCTTCTGCAGATCCCATCCACCTGTCTCAGCACTGCCAAGAACTCCCACCAAACGGGGAAGCCCAGAAAGACACTTGGCCCACACAGACGTACAGGCTGCGGAGGCTCAGGAGGATGTGGAGGCTGTGCCCAGGCAGAGCAGCCCAGGGGAGGGGCAGGGGAGACAGCCAGGGCCCCCACAGCCCAAAGCACACAGCAGGGGAGCCAGCTCATCAAAGCCCCATTTTTGCCACCCCAGGAACTTCCTTTCCTTCACACCAGACGCTCGGGTGTGGTGCCAGCCCATCCAAAGCTCCACCAGAAGCTTCCGGGTGCCAAGAGGTGGGCTATAGGCTGCTGACTCCTTGGGGCACTGAAGCCAGCCACAGAGCAAAGTGGGGCTGCAGGACAGGGAGGCCTGTCCGTGCTGAGAAACACAGGCTCGTGGCCTGTCGGAGCTAAAGCAGCCTAGAGATCCCTGGTGTACACCCCTCACTTGTACAGAAGGAGCCTGAGGCCCAGAGACATCAAGGGGTTTGCCCAGGGTCACACAGCAACTTGGGGCCATACTCCCATGTCCCAGTCATTTCAGAGAAGTATCTGCAAGGATGCCTTTAAAAAGTGGTTTTGTCAGGAGTGGTAGGTGGCTCACACCTGTAATCCCAGCACTCTGGGAGGCTGAGGCGGGTGGATCACTTGAGCTCAGGAGTTCCAGACCAGTCTGGGCAACATGGCGAAACCCCGTCTCTACCAAAAACACAAAAAATTAGCTGGGCATGGTGGTGCGCATCTGTGGTCCCAAACACTGAGATAGGAGGAGCGCTTGAGCCCAGAAGGCGAAGATTACAGTGAGCCTAGATTGCACCACTGCACTCCAGCCTGGGCGACAGAGCGAGGCCCCGTCTTAAAATAAAAAAATAAATAAAAGTGGCTTCTTCAATGTGGAAGATCCTCACTATAAGGCAGAAGAGGGAACTGCAGGAAATAACAGAGGAAAGGGAGATGGGAGCAGCCCCAGGGCCCTGCCTAAAACCCCCAGAGCAGCTCACTTCCCACCAGTTACCTGAACCTGCCTTCCCAAGGCAAAGTGTTTTTCCTCCTGGATAAACACAGTCCCAGGCTCCAAGTCAAGCCCCAGGGGGCCCATTAAGAAAAGGCCCATGCCTGCCCCTCCTCCCCCCACAGAACACACCGTGAGGGCATGGGGCTCCCTGGGCTTGGGAACCACAGGCAAATAATATGGGAAAATATTTCCACCGCACTTTGACTGAGAGTGAATCTGACAACCTGCTTTTGGGAATAAAGATTTCCTGTTGAACTCGGCTAGAGCCAGCCTGACAAGCCGGTTTCCATGACAACTCGAGCGGCCCTCTGGACCTAAATGAACACCATGGAGCAAATGAGGCAAACATGCTAATTGTACTTTCTCCATCATTTGATGAAACCATCAAAAGACAACAGCAGTATTAAAAAATATCTCTCGGCCAGCTGCGGTGGCTCACGCCTGTAATCCCAGCACTTTGGCAGGCCGAGGCCGGCAGATCACGAGCTCAGAATTGAGATGAT